TAAACCAGGTAGACTTACATATACAGAGCATTCCCTCTAAAAATATCAGAATTCACATTTTTTCAAGTGTACATAGAACATTCTCCAGAATAGACCACAAAACAAGTACCAGTAAATTTAAGAAGATTGGAATTATATCAAGCGTCTTTTCTGGCCACAATGGTATGAAACTAGAAATCAATTACAAGAAGAAAGTAAATATGTGAAGACTAAACAACATGCTAACTTAACAACAAATGTGTTAATGAGAAAAATCAAAGAGGAAATCAAAAAATGCCTTGAGACAGATGAAAATGGAAACACAACAGTTCAAAATCTATGGGATGCAGCAAAAGCAGCTCTAAGAGGAAAGTTTATAGGAATACAAGCCTACCTCAAGAAACAACAAAAATCTCTAACAGTCCATCCTTACACCTAAAAAAATTAGAAAAAGAAAAACAAAGCCCAAAGTTAGTAGAAGGAAGGAAATAATAAAGACAAACAAAACCGATAAATCTTTAGCTAGACTCATCAAGAAAAAAAAAAGAATACTCAAATAATACCAGAAGTGAAAAAAGGAGACATTACAACTGATACCAAAAAAATACTAAGGATATAAGAGACTACTATGAATGACTACATGCCAAAAAGGGAGATAACCTAGAGGAAATGGATATATTACTAGAAATGTACAATCTTCCAAGACTGAATCAAGAAGAGATTAAAAAAAAACTGAACAAACTGATAACTAGTAATGAGATTGAATCAGTAATTTAAAAAACTCCCAACAATCAAAACAGTCTTCATAGATGAATTCTACCAAACATGTAAAGAAGAATTAATACTTATTCTTCTCAAACGATCCCAAAAAAATTGAAGAGGAAAGAATGCTTCCAAACTCATTCTATGGGGCCAGTATTATCCTGATACCAAAACCAAAGACACTACAAAGAAGGAAAATTACAAGCCAACATCTCTGATGAACGTGAATTAATGCAGAAATACTCAACAAAATATTAGCAAACCAACTTCAACTGTAGAGTGAAGGGATCATACACCATGACAAAGTGGGATTTATTCCAAGGATGTAAGAATGGTTCATCACCCACAAATCAACCAATGTGATATATCACATTACAAAAAGGAAGATAAAAATGATATGATCATCTCAATACATGCAGAGAAAGCTTCTTATCAAATTCAACATTCATTTATGACTAAAAACTCCCAACAAAGTGGATATAGAAGAGAATGCCATATCACAAACCCACATTTAATGTCATATTCAAAACTTTTCCCCCAAGATCAGATACCACAAAACAAGAATGCCCAGTCCTGTCACTATTATTGAACATAGTACTGAGAATCCTAGTTATAGCAATGAGAGAAGAAATAGAAATAGAAGGCATCCAAGTTGAAAAAGTAGTAAAATTGTCACTATTTACAGATGATATTACATATATAACCCTAAAGACTCCACCCCAAAATATTAGAACTAATAAATTAATTCAGTAAAGTTGTAGGATACAAAATTAATATACATAAATCTGTGGCATCTGTATGTATTAATAAACTATCAGAAAGTAAAATTAAGAAATAAAATATTCATACTATCTAAAGCAATCTACCAATTCAGTGCAACTCTATCAAAATACCAATGGCAATTTTCACAGAACTAGAACAAAGAACCTTAAAATTTGTATAGAAATACAAAAACCTCAAATAGCCAAAGCAATCTTGAACAAGAACAAAGCTGGAGATATCACACTTTCTAATTTCAAACTGTACAATAAAATGATAATAATAAAAACACTATGGCACTGACACAGAAAAGACACATAAGTCAATGAACACAGAACAGAGTCCAGAAACAAAATCATTCTTATATGATCAATTAATCTTTGACAAAGGAAGCAAGAATATAAAGTGTAAAAAAAATATAAAGAAAACTTCTTTAATAAATGGTATTGGGAATACTGGACAGCTACATGTAAGAGAATGAAACTGGGCCACTTTCTTATACCATTTATAAAAATAAACTCAAAATAAATTAAAGATTCACATGTAAGACTAGAAATCATAAAACTGTTAGAAGAAAATTAGGTAGCAAGCTCTTGGATATTGGTCTGAACAATATCTTTTTTGGATCTGTCTTCTCAGGCTAGGACAAAAAAGCAAAAATAAAAGAGTTGAACTACATCAAATGAGAAAGCTTTTGCACAGCAAACGAAATCATCCAGAAAAGGAAAAGGCAACCTACTGAGTGAGATAATATATTTACAAATGATATAACCAATAAGGCATTAATATCCAAAATATATAAAGAACTCACATAACTCAATATGAAAAGCGATCTAATTAAAAAATAGGCAGATGACCTGAATAGACATTTCTCCAAAGAAGAAATACAGAGGGTCAAAAGACACATGAAAAACTGCTCAACGTCACTTATCATCAGGATGATACGAATCAAAACCACAATGAGATATCACCTCACACCTCACAGAATGGCTAGTGTCAAAAAAACAAGAAATAAAAATGTTAGCAAGGATGTGAACAAAAAGGAAAACCAGCACTGTTGAAGGGAATATAAAATGATGCCATCACTATGGGGAACATTATGAAGTTTTCTCAAAAAATTAATAATAGTACTATCATATGATCCAGCAGTTCCACTCTTGGTATTTATCTGAAGAAAATGAAAACACTAATTTGAAAAGACATATGCACATCCTATGTTCATTGCAGCATTATTTATAATAGCCAGGATATGGAAGCAACCTGAGTGGCATTACTAGATGAATGGAGACAGAAAGAGAGGTGCTACATCTTTATAAGAAATAGGCTCACCCTCTATTATATAGGCTGAGGAGTTTCAAGATCTACAGTCCTCAAGCTGGAGGCCCAGGAGAGATGATGGTATAGTTTCAATCAGAGAGTCTACAGCCTCAGGAAGCCTGGGTGGCTCAGCGGTTGAGCACCCCCCTTCGGCCCAGGTCATGATCCTGGCATCCCAGAATTGAGTCCCACATCGGGCTCCCTGCATGGAGCCTGCTTCTCTTTCTGCCTGTGTCTCTGCCTCTCTCTGTGTGTCTCTCATGAATAAATAAATAAAATGTTTAAAAAAAAAAAAGCCTACAGCCTCAAGACCCAAGAAGAGCTGATGTTTCTGTTTGAGTCCAATGACCCATCTCAGCAGTCAGGCAGACAGAGCTCCCTCTTACTCACCAGAGGATTTTTGTTCCATGTGGGCCTTCACCATATTGGATGAGGCCTGCTGGGGAAGGCAACTTGCTTCAATCGGTCTACTGATCCAAGTATTATTCTCCCCCAAAGCACCCTCACAGACACCCAGAATAATGTTTGACCAAATGTAGGGCACCTGAGACCAGTCAAGTTGACACACAACTTGACACACATCATTGGCCCCATCCTTTCCAACATACATAGATACATGAGTGCACACTGACAGCATAGAGACTTCCCAGGCCTACTAGAGGAAGCTAGGATGACTAAGCATCCTGGTTTGCCTGGGGCTGAGGGATACGACTGGACACTGGTCTCTCAGTTCCAGGCAAACAGGACAAGGTGGTCATCCTAGGTAGAACCCTATCAGCTGCTACCACCTGTCACTCCACTTCTCTCTCTCTCTCTCTTTTCTAAGATTTTATTTATTTATTCATGAGACACAGAGAGAGAGGGAGAGAGGCAGAGACACAGACAGAGGGAGAAGCAGGCTCCCTGCAGGGACCCCGATGCGGGACTTGATCCCAGGTCTCCAGGATCACGCCCTGGGCCAAAGGGAGGCACTAAACCGCTGAGCCACCCAGGGATCCCCCTCCACTTCTCTCTTCACATCAACCTACCTAACTCAAAAACTTCCACCTTAACACTTGACCTCTGACCTCAGTCCTTTGTAAGAAAATTCCTTCCTTTCCAGGAGAAACCTCACTATAATATAGTAACATATGCCTTGTGGACTTTTGATCAAAAGCTACACTCCCAGATGCACTCTCCCCGGGACCACCCTAAAGCATGGCAGCTGGCTTCCCGCACACTCAAGTGAAGGAGAATTAAGCTCCGTCCCTTGAAGGGAAAGGTGTAAAAAATCTATGATCATGCCTTTAAAACCACCACCTTGGCAAAGGCAAATTTGACACATTTCATAAAACTGCCTGTGTCCAACCATCTGAAAACACAATCAGTAAAAATTCCACAAGCTCTCAGCAGAAGCAGACTTCTCAAAGTTGTTCAATTATGATTTCCTCATCCCCTTCGTTTGAGGGAAACTGGACCCTTCTGGTGCCATAATTGAACTCCAACACCTTGGAATTATTGGAGTTCTCCAGAAATACCACTCTTGTGAGTTCTATCTTTGAAATAGAAATAATAACATGTATTTTGGGATTGGTACATCAATACTTGCCATTAAGCCAGTAGCTGTAGGGTCAGGCAGTGACCCAGAAAGACAAACAGTGAAATAGAAAGGACCTAAACATCTCATTTAATCATTGAATCCAGCCACCACCTTCCAATCAAATTAGGGTAGTTGTGTGCTTTCCTGTTTCTACACATGCCTTTCATTTGTTTTACTTCTTTTTTTTTTCCATTTCAGTCCATCTCGTTTAATCTATCTCACACACAGTTGGATTCATGAGGATGGGGCATGGAGAGAGGAGAGGACAAAGGACAATCTTTGTTTTTATCTCTGAAGTCAGAATTCACTAACAATGTTTTTCTCATAGAGAAGTTAAGATGAGAATCCAGTAAACTGTTTTATTTAAATTACTGCACCATCATATTTTGTTGAAGCAATAGAGCTTTTAAAAGATAATGTGACTTAGCTTTTATTTTATTTAGACTATTTAGCAACTAGTCTATAATATATATATAATATAATATATGTTGCTATATATTCTTTAGGTGGCCTGGTGGTTTTTACCTCTGACCTCCAGCAAGTACTACAAAGAAGAAAAGATTCTGAAGAATCAATCAAGCTTTCTGCCGAGGCAGAGTAACACCTTTGTCTTAACCACTAGCCGGAGAAATGAAGCACATTATCAATCTACATGAAAACATCAACGATACAGCAAGAAATAATTCAGACTGTCCTCATGTGGTTTTGCCGGAAGAGATATTTTTTATAATATCCATCATCGGGGTTTTGGAAAATCTGATGGTCCTTCTAGCTGTGATCAAGAATAAGAATCTGCAGTCACCCATGTACTTTTTCATTTGCAGCCTGGCCATTTCTGATATGATGGGCAGCTTGTATAAGATCCTTGAAAATATCCTGATCGTGTTCAGAAACATGGGTTATCTCAAGCCTCGGGGCAATTTTGAGACCACAGCAGATGACATTATGGACTCCCTGTTCATCCTCTCCCTCCTTGGTTCCATTTTCAGCCTGTCTGTGATAGCAGCTGACCGCTACTTTACAATCTTCCACGCTCTGCAGTACCACAGCATTGTGACCATGCGCCGAGCCATCGTTGTCCTGACGGTCATCTGGACAGGCTGCACAGGCGGCGCCATTACCATGGTTATCTTCTCTCATCACGTCCCCACAGTGATCACCTTCACGTCGCTGTTCCCTCTGATGTTGGTCTTTATCCTGTGCCTTTATGTGCACATGTTCTTGCTTGCCCGTTCCCATGCCAGGAAGATCTTGACGCTTCCCAGAGCCAACATGAAAGGGGCCATCACACTGACCATCCTGCTTGGAGTCTTCATCTTCTGTTGGGCTCCCTTTGTCCTTCATGTTCTGTTGATGACATTTTGCCCAAATAACCCTTACTGCGCCTGCTACATGTCCCTCTTCCAGGTGAACGGCATGTTGATCATGTGCAATGCAGTCATTGACCCCTTTATATATGCCTTCAGGAGCCCTGAGCTCAGGGAGGCATTTAAGAAGATGATCTTCTGCAGTAGGTCCTAGTGGAATTATTGGTCCCTGATTTTAGAAGCAACAGGGATAATTCTGTCAAGTAACAGAATAACGTGACACACCGACAAATGCTCATGCTTCCCCCCACAATCCGTCCTTTCCTTAATGTGTTCAAGGGTTATCCCACTAACTAGTGTTTGTAATAGCTTAGTCCTGTGTGAAGAGTCTTGCCGTAGGTTACAACTTTTATGACTACAGAGAGAAAACAATGTATGAAAAAGAACAACCAACTACAAAGAACAGATGGCAATATAAACATATAAATCTAAGAGTTTTGCACTCAGGTAAAAGCTTGCTCTTCTATAGATATCTAGCAAGCCTGTTGCTGAGATTGCCTTCCTAGGCTGGAGGCCATTGTAATCAGTTTCTAGAAGTTAAAGCGCCAGGACAGATGCTCAGGGCACAAGCTACAATGTGTTTGTAAGCAAGTGAAAGGTGCCAATAAATTACTGCAACTATCCAGCGTAGCCACACAGAATCCCTGCCCTCCCCCCTCCTTCCTGCCTGCTTGCTTTACTGTATTCCACCTTAAATCTTTTTTTCAATCTTTTGGAGCCCAACACAGGGCTTGAACTCATGACCCTGAGGCCAAAATCTGAGCTGAGATCAAGAGTCAGACATCCAAAGGACTGAGTCATTTGAGAAGGTGCCCCATCTCAAATCTTTTTGGAAGTAGGCAGGGCATAAATTATCAATGTCAAATAAGCAGCTCTGAGTGTCCAATAATAAAGGAAACTTCTCTGTTAGCCCTCTTTGCTCATGGAGTATCCCACTGGCCTTAAAATCCTTTCCTGTTAAAACTCTCATGATTCAGAAGCATAAATTTCAGAGGAGGAAATAAAAATTTAATACATGACCATGTGGAAATAAATAAAGGCTAGAGGAAAAATGTGACTATTTGAAGAAAGCATAACCATTCTTTGTGAATGTGTCTAAATGTAGGGGTAAAAGAAGAGACTAAAAACCCCAAATATATATTTTGTAGAATGATTAGAGTGTGTGTGTTCACCTCGCCTTGGGACTACAGGAGAAACCAAAACGGAAACACCACGTCAAGAACAGTGCTAGTATGGAGACCCAGGCCAGAGACTGATGAAAACCCTTTAACTCCTTCCACAGATGAGTCTAAGAGGCAGATGCAGTGACTGGAAAGTTTCATTCTACTGTCAGCCACAGGAAAGATGCCAGATATTGAGAAGCGGCATCCCCGGTGACAATATAGAAATAAAATTAGCAAGTTCATCCATTTTTAATAGCTAAAGATAAAGCTTAAAAAAGAAGCAAATTCTGACCATAAGTAAGTCCTTGCTGAGTTGGACAGTGATTTAAAGGGATGAGTGATGAGAGAGAGGCAAGTAAGGTCTTTAAATTCACCAAGCAGGTCTGCGTGGGACCCACGGAGAGTGGCTGAGTCTTCTGAAAGAGGCAATGCTTGATTGTCAAGGGAGTTTTCCCTGAACTGCTGAGAGGAGGAGCCAGCCACAAATAGAACTTCTTGCCTGATAGTGGTGAGTAAGGGACAGGTGGGGGGGGGGGGGCTAGGTAGAGAGAGAGAGGTAGGGGGCTCCTTGGTCAGGCTCACAAGAATCCCCAAAATGCAGAAGTGTAAGGAAACCGAGATAAGACAACAAAGCAGACCATCCTCCCTAGGTGATGGGGTGGGGGCGGAGGTGTCTTTTTTTTATGTCTGTCACCTATGAGCATCAAAGAATAACCAGACCCTAAAAAGAAGTAAGCCATTAAAGATGCTATCACCAGTCCTTACTCAAACCGAGATTTCCAGGCAGGTTTCCAGACAGCATTCATCACGGATTCGAGATGGAACCTGAAGTATGTCTTGTCCTCTGTGTTCTGTAGAAATCCTTCCTTGGTTACTTCTCGCCAAATGGACAATATTACTCAGATGTACGTTAACTTGAATTTCTTAATAATTAAGACACTAGATGGAAGTTTATTTTTCATAAAATCTAAAGCACAACCCTATAAGTGATTTTTAAGTGTTATTTCTATCGTTAAAAGAATAATGTATAGAATATTTTTTTCTGTGATTGAACTGGGTGTTCTCAATAAAATGTAGACTTTCTTTGATGTTGTGCATCCTATGATACCGTAGAGGTGAGTAGTACAATTTAACAACTGTCATAAATAGTCCCAAAGTACTGTGCTTTGTTAGTAACTTTGCCATCCCCTCATCACTCCCAAGCTCTCGGCTGTTACATCCGTCCTCAGAGGAAATCACCTAGGATATTCCTTCACCTATCACTGTCTTTCATTTGTTACGTTTAATCTGAGAAACAAAATCAAGAAGGCTAGAAGGCAAAATATAAAGGCTGAGTGCCAACTCAGAGACATTGTCAATTCTAGTCCTTAGTTATCTTCAAATCAGTTCAAGGTTTTTTTTTTTTTTTTTAGATTTTATGTATTTGTTCATGGAGAGAGAAAGACAGAGACACAGAGAGGGAGAGACACAAGCAGAGGGAGATGCAGGCTCCATGCAGGGAGCCCGACATGGGACTTGATCCCGGCTCCCCAGGATCACACCCTAAACCACTGAGCCACCTGGGCTGCCCAAGTTCAAGGTTTTTAATACTTACAATTACTGGGGGGAAATTGTGGTTTCCTACCCTACCTTTATATGTAATTCAAACAAAAACAATATCAAACTGCATACATCTGAGTAAGAAAGATCAACATGGTTCAGATTTTTCCCATGATGATCCCTTCAGTTCTTTTATTTTGATCAATTTTTTATTTTTTTTATTTTTTTATTTTTTTTTAGTACAGAAGTCATGATATTTAATATGGATCTTTTTTTTTATAAATTAATTTTTATTGGTGTTCAATTTACCAACATACAGAATAACACCCAGTGCTCATCCCATCAAGTGTCCCCCTCCGTGCCCGTCACCCATTCACCCCCACCCCCTGCCCTCCTCCCCTTCCACCACCCCTAGTTCATTTCCCAGAGTTAGAAGTCTTTATGTTCTGTGTCCCTTTCTGATATCTCCCACACATAATAGTGAAGGGGAATATAAGGGAAGGGAGAAGAAATGTGTTGATCAATTTTTTAAACTGCTTTGCTGATACCATTGATGAGGAGCAAAAGGAAAGCTGAGGGCAAAGCACAAGCTAACACCACACAACCCTCCTCCCCAGGTGAGATTTTTTTTTAAAATTTAAATTCAATTAGCCAACATATCGTACATCAGTAGTTGCAGATGTAGAGTTCAATAACTCAACAGTTGCATATAACCCAGTGCTCATCATATCACATGCCATCCTGAACGCCAATCACCAAATTGCCCCTCTCCCTTCCAAAGACCGTCAGTTTGTTTCCTACAGTTAAGAGTCTCTTGTGGTTTGTCTCCCTTTCAGATTTATTCCCATTCAGTTTTTCCTCCCCTCCCCTGTGATCCCCTGCACTGTTTCTTACATTCCCCATGTGAGTGAAACCATATGATAATTGTCTTTCCCTGAGTGACTTATCTTGCTCAGCATAATACCCTCCAGTTCCATCCATGTCTATGTAAATGGTAAGTATTCATCCTTTCTGATGGCTGAGTTAGTGCAATGGAATATTACTCCCCAGATGAAATATGTGTGACATTCCTCAGGCACCCCTGGTTGCCCAAGAACAAAACAAAGGGAAAAAAAAATAATTAACTGATAGAGATCACAGTCATGTAGGATATGAATCTCCATCAGTTTGCAACTGTCCTAATGATTTATGAGAAAAGAGCAATCTCCAGAAACCTCTAGACTCAATTTCCTGGAACCCTAACACCCTCCCCTCAATAGGATAGAAAATCTTATATAATCAGGCACTCCTCACAACCCCAGTGCAGCTCTTTCTACCCATGGGTCCTGTCCCTGTGCCATAATAAAACACCCTTTTTGCATCAAAAATGTCTCAAGAATTCTTTCTTGATCATTGGCTCTGAACCCCACCCCTCCAAACCACATCACCATAAGCATATGTACAGTTTTATTGATGATGTAGCTTTGGATCAGACAGCTGAGATTAAATAAAGGATGAAGTACTATAAATGACTTGGTGTCCTCTTTTTTTCTCTCTCTTTGCCTTTTTGTTGTTGTGATTTTTAATTTTATTTTTATTTATTTTTATTTTGAAGTATAATTGGCATACAATATTATATTCCTTTCAAGTGTACAACACAGTGATTCAACAATTCTATACATTACTCAGTGTTCACTAAGGTAAGTGTAGTCACCATCTGTCACCATACAACTTTATTACAATATTATTCACTATATTCCCTATGCTATACTTATTTATTTTACTACTGGAATTTCATATTTCTTAATCTTCTTTATCTATTTTGTCCATTTCTCCACCCACCTGGTGGGTGTCCACCTCCCCGAGGTGAGAAACAGGCTATAAAACAAATAGCTCCTAATCTCTTTCAAAGTAACTGACTTGATTTTCATCAGTGATGGATAAGCTTCAGCACTCTCAAAAACAGCAGTTTGACCACCTTCAAACTTAGGGTTTGACAAAAAGGCAGCTGGGAGAACAATAGATGCATTAAAGGTATATATTAAAGGTATATTAAAGGTATATATATAAAATGCATATATATATATATGCATTAAAGGTTATATATGCTGGGGATTCTGCTGAGAGAAGTAGGGGAGCAGGAGGGGGCCTCCTGAGGGCAGAACAAAGCTCAATCACTGTCCCTGGGAACGTTCCCTATGAGGGATCCCAAATGTGGTTAGATAAGTCTTTGGAGCAATTTATGCAACAGGACATTGTTGAAAACTACAGAATCGGCAATTAGTGGTGCTTAACAGCTGGGTATGATCAGCAGAAGAGCCACCAAACAGAGCCCTGTCCAAACTATCATCATTCCAAGGCAAACCCAAAACTACATCCCCTGAGGAGAATATCAGAGGTATAATACTGCAGAGTGGGTTGAAGTGTAGACCTCAGCCAGTCACAAAACAGATAAACAAGCAACTAAAAGCAA